ACAGCCCAGGCTATGAAGATCTTTAAAAGCCAAACAGATGACTTTGTATTTGTTTCTGGAGGTAACATAAAGCCAGTGGAGCAGTGCAGGGTCTGTAGTTGGACCTGTGCTTTGGAAAAAATCTTTTTGGTGCTTGAGTAGATGATTGATTAGAGTAGATTTGAGGCAGGAAGGAACTACCCCCCGACCCCCACCAACCCAGCAAGGTTATTGCAATAGTCTAAGAGATGAGGACTTAGGCTGTGGGAGCAGAGATAAAGGAATATGAACAGTACATGTTGTGAATATAGAAATGATTTTGCCACTGTGAGTAAAAGTGCGAGTAGAGGATAACACCTAGGTTGTAAGCTTGGGTAACTGGGAAGATAGTGGTACTCTCAACAATACTAAGGAAACGCAGAAGAGGGGTAGGTTTTTAGGGAAAGGTTTTAGGGAAAGTTATGTGGAGTTTGAGATGCCTATGAAACATCCACTTAAAGATGTTCAAAAAGCAGTTGGTAATCCAGGACTATAGCTCAGGCCAGAGATATGTTGATATAAATATGTAGACCTGGGTATGTACATCCGGGAGTCATCTGCATAGGGAGAGTAATTGAACTGCTGAAAGCTGATGAAATCACCAAGTAAGCTAATACAATACCGAGTAAAAAGAGAAGAGGTTCCAGGAGAGCCTTGGGGAACAACTATGGTTAGTGAGCATCACACAGATGAAGAACCAGTAGGTGTTCCCTACAGAAATGAAACCATAGATCTGGTCCAAATTTAGAGGTAACATTTTCCTTATTATCTCATTGGCTTTCCTTATCACTTTTGAGACAATTCAACTGGATTACACAGATGGAAGACAGAGAGAGAGAGATGGAGAGATAGAACATTTATTAAGTGCTCATTATGTGCCAAGCACTGTGTTAAGTATTGAAAATGCAAATATAAGCAAAGAGAAAGAAAGAAAGAAAAAAAAGTCACTACTCTCAAGGAGCTTACATTCTAATGGGGAGAGGGGAAGAGAACAAAGGAGCTGAAACATGAGTATGAGAGCAAGGTGTAAAAGTCAGGAGCAGAACCAGGTGAGAAGTGAATAAGGCTGGCTCAGTCAACTTACTCAAATGGAGGTTCTGGGCAGGAACTCACCAATTGGAGAAGGGTGCCACAGGGATGGAGGCATCTCCAGGTAAGAATGCAGCCAGGGCAGGAGTAGAAAAGTCTGGAGAGTCAGGAGCAGAGCCAGGAGAAAAGAGGGACAATAAGAGGAGAAGAGTTGGAAGAACTTAGTGAAGACATCATTCTAAAGGAGTTTAGCACCAAAGAGGAGGAGAGATATAATATGATAGTGGGAACAGTAGGATCAAGGGAGGCCTTTTTAAGGATGGGGGAAGACATGGACATGTTTTTAGGCACCAAAAAAGAAACCAGGAAATAGGGATAAGTTGAATGTAAGAAAGAGAATGGGAATGATAATAGGGAAAATCTATAGGAGAAGACAGGAGGGGATGATGGGATCAAGAATGCACGTTAAGGGATTGACCTTGGCAAAGAGAAAGGCCACCTCTTCATCTGAGATATGAATGAAGGTGAAGACAGTAAAGAAGATGTCTTAGTGATTTGAGATGAAGGGGAGCTCATACCAAATGGACTTACTTCTTTTTGGTGAAGTCTGGGGCAAGATCCACATTTGAGAGGATGAGGGTTAGGGGTGCCATGAAAGACTTGAGGAGAGATGAGAAAGTTTTGAACCGATGCTTTGGAGAGTTAGATAGTGAATAAATTAAGGAGCAATAAAATGATTGCTTCCCTTCAGTGAAGGCCCACTTGAGATTAGATAACAAAAATTTGTAGTGGATACAGTTGGCATGGTTTTGTGATTTCCTCCAGTTCCATTCAGCAGTACATGAGCAAAAAGAGACAGATGGTGAGAATAATATAGGGTTGGGTTTTGGCAAGGAATGATTGGAGATAGGACAGGGGAGCCAGGTAATCAAGAGTAGAGTTGATCTGATTCACCAAGGGGTCAAGATTGAGAAGGAAGAGTATAGTCAGTGCAGGCTAGATTGCCTGGCATATTTCTCAGTTCCTTCAGAGCAGGGTCTGTCTTTGTTTTCCCAGGGCTTAGGACAGTACCTGACACATAGTACGTGCTTAATAAATGTTTATTGACTAGCTGACTAACAGTACCAAGAGGTAGAGGGAATTATAGGAGTTGAAAGGCATAAAGATAGAATGATAAAAGATTGTGATTAGATAAATAATTTCAGAGTTAGCATCTGGATTAGATAATTATCTAGAAGGCCTGACTCTAAGGCAATAAGAAATAGGATAAATTTCACTGAGGCAATGGAAAGATATGAGCATCATGGTAGTATGGATTATTGGCAGGTGGGGATAGTAGTCCCAGCATAGTGCTCCTCTATAGAGCAGCCTGGGTATCCAGGGTGGGGAAAAGCATGGAGGGAGTAATTAAACACAATGGTTTTGGACAAGAGAGGATGGTGAAAGGGGTCAGAAGTGCTCAAAGAGAAAGTTGATGGCTTTATAAATTTTACCTAGACTTGACTTTTCTCCAAAGTCTGGAAATCATCCAAGGAATCATACCTACCTTGTGATAGTGATCTGAGCTCTGGCTACTTTCAGGGCCCCTGTAAGTTAGTATCTAAAAGTACTTTTTTATTCCTCTTTTACTATGAAATTTTAATAACTTATTTTTTATTTGGCAGTCAGAATAACTGCAGGTTTTATGACTGCAAGGGTCTTTCTGTGGAATCTGCTTTTGTAAACACTTAGAAAAGTAAACTCATGTAATTTGTTTGCTCATAGGTTTCCTCAGTGTGGATTATAACAACACCAGTTAGGCTTTGTAAAGACTATCAAGGTATTTCTGGGAGCAAATTCAATATTTTAGTGTCAATCTAGAAGACCCTAAGTAATTTAGGATTTGGTTACCTTAGAAACCTTTTTTCCCCCTGAGTTGCCGTTGGCTGTCAAACACAGGACTGTTTTTGAAAGTCCCCAATTCTTTATTCCTGCAGCTATGGAGAAACATTAAGCTTGCAAATGAACACAGTCAGGATTTTATTTGAAGGAAAGAAAGAGTTCTATTATTATCTGGGTGGAGGGAGAAGGAATTTAGAGCCCATTCCAACCAACAAATTCTATTTCTGAAGGTTTGAAAATTGAACTGAGGGGGAGGAGAAAGATACTATATTGGAAGCAGCTGGACTGCACTGACTTTGATTCTCTGCTCTGTTACCTCCTATCCTTTTCTTCTGCAACTTGAGGGGAGGAGGGAAGGTGAATATGGTGGGAAGCTTCTTCAGCTATCAGTTTAGCTTTTCCTTCCCTGATGATAGAAGTCTATTGCCAGATCCTTCCCAGAAAATCCCAGGAAGGAGAAACAACCTTTGAGGAATCTGGGGTTAAGATAGGACGAAGGGGACAAAGCTTTGTAAAACGTATCCCTTTGATTTTTTTCCTTGTGAAATTCTAACTCCTCTTTTAGAAATTATGCTGACTCTGATCTACTTGTATACTTCCCAATATAGGCATTCCCTTACTTATAGGTGAGAACAGAATGAAGTCTATGAATTCGTTCCAAGTATCCTGAGTACAGCCTTTTCCTCCTAAATTTGGCCAAAGTGCTGGCTAGTCAGTAATTTCAGTTTTAGTTCTGACCCTGTCACTTATTGATGTTGAGTAAGTAATTTTCCTTATCTGAGTTTATGGTTTATCTATAAAATAACAGAATTTGGCTAGATCATTTCTGGTCCCTTCTAGCCTTAGGATTCAAGTTGCAGTGTTTCTCAGGCTGGGGGTGGGGTGGGATGAGGTGTCAGGGAATCTTAGGTATTAGGAATGGTTTGTATTTACAAGGCTCGGGGTTTATGGGTTTAATTCTGGAGGCAAGAGGTGTTTGTTTTGCACACTATTGGGTTCTGTTGATCAGAAAGATCCTGGTGACCTTATAACAGCCAAGATCCTTACAAATCAGACCATAAGAGCTGCCCAATTTAGAGAGTAAATAAGAATTTAAAATTGGAGAAGCCTTATATCATTTTTTTGGGAGGGGGGAGCCATTGCTACTTAAAAGAATACTAAGCATTTATTCTCCTAGCCTCTTTTTCAGTAGTTAAGTCTTTCTCAATTTCAAGGATATTTTAAAAGAAATTTTCAACTCTTCAGAACAGTAGGTGATGACATATATGTAAAAGTAACAGAGGGAGGTTTCTTTTTCCTTTCCTGGAACTGGTATTTCAGACTAGAACACAGCAGAAAAAAAAAAAAAGTCCAGCAGCTGGACAGGACAGCTAGTCCACAGCTGGTCCTGCTGCCCCTGACTTAAGCACACCTACAGCAGGCCACCACCCTCCTCCCAGTTACAGGGTCTCAGCTAAGGCACCAAGGCTTATGCTAAAGACCTGAAGGTCCAAATGACCACTTTTTCAGCTAGATAAAGCAAGGGGCCCCATTACAAGCTCCTTCTTCACAAGGAGAGCTGAACTGGCTCCTAGGGAGGAGGAGAAGTTTTTGATCAGCCAAGCCTGAATTAGCGACTACAAGCAAGGTATGCCCACCCGCCCGAGGTGACTGCTCTTGCCCAGGTGCGAGACCTTGAAGAAGCCCCCGGGGTCTTCCAGGAACCCCAGTTCCGACTGCCTGCGTCCCCTCCCCCCCTCTTCTGTCCTAGGCCACGTGCTGGAGGAAGGCTCTGCAGCAGCCGCCCGGGCGGAGCTGCAGCGCCCACTCCGCCCACTCCCCGCCTTTCCCCGGTCCTGGCCGCCCACCTTGCCGCTCCGCCCCTTGGTCCTCCTCCGTCTCCCCAGGCAGCCCAGCCTCGAGCCTGCACTGCCCCGCCGGCCCGGCGAGGCTCCCGGTGAGCGCAGCCACCGCACCTGCCAAGCCCAGGGAGAGCCTAGCTGCGGCCGCCCCGGCTCCCTTTCTCCCTCTCTCTCTCTCCTCTCTGCAGGGTCTCCCATGACGCCTGAGCTCAGCCCCTCCACCTGCCAAGCATGACCACTTCCCTGCAAGATGGGCAAAGCGCCCCGGGGAGAGCGGCTGCCCGGGGCTTGGGGCTGGCCCAGGTGTGCGGTGCTGCCCAGGGGAGGGGCCACGCCAGTGCCCTGGCAGCGCGCCCCCCGGGGCTGCCCTGTCGGACGCTTCTGCCCCCTCTGGAGGGCGCCCATTTTTGTGCTGCAGACAGGTAGGTGGCTTTCGGGGAGGGGGAGCAGGGCAAGCGTCCCAGGGTGGGAGCTGACCGGGGTGAGGAGGACGGTCTTGGTGGGGAAGCCTGGGCTAGAACTCTGGCCAAGTTTGGGAAAAGTATCACAAGACAATCCCCTTTCTAGCTGGCTCCTGGGATCTGTAGGACATTGTGATCTCACTGTGCCTTCTCATAAATAGCATTGCCCATTCATTGAGAGCGGCTTCTCTTTCTCCCTCCTGACACCCGCCTCTTCTCATTAGTGGAACCAGAAGGCAACGAAGACTCCAGGTTGATTTTTTTTTTCCTTCGAGGCCCTGCCTTTTCTTAATAAACACTCTTGGTTTCTTTAAACTATAGCATAAATGAAACCTCGCCTCCCACACAGACATTACCGGTACCTAGCCAGAAAAAGCAATGCTCTGGATGGATATTTGATCAGTCTTGCTTCCCGCAGGCATAGGATGGAATCGTTTAAAATATTCTCTAATCTTTATACCATTCAGCATCAAGTACATTTGTAGTTGACTGTGTCTAAAGTAGGGCATTCCTTAGGAGAGAAAAGACTGCAAAGGTATAAAGCCTGCAAATTAAACCTGTTATTGACCTCCTTCAACTCAGATGGCTCAGGTATAGCTTATTTCTCTTTACTCATTTTTAGGTTCAGAGCATTCTAAACTCTAGCAAAGTTACATTACTTTTCAGTATACCACAGTGTACATTTATACTAGCAAGTTCCATTAACTTAACTGCATTCAAAGACTCAGTACTAGTTGCTGTTTTGCAGCTTAAGCATCTGAGAAGTCAACAGACTGTGTGTGGGCAACGTTTTGAATGAAATTTGAAGTGAGATGAACCATAGCTATAATTAATAAATATAACTTTCAAAATGTGATTAGTAAAGTATAATGGAACTGGGTTCTCCAAATGCAGTAAAGATTCCCTTTTTTTTTTGTTTGTTTGTTTGCTTAGATCAGTTTCCATAATAACTGCTTCTACAATTTTGATGTATGTATTTTTGCTTCAGAAAAGTTACCAAAAGCTGCTGTTTACCCACATGCCTGATGGTTTGTGGAAGGTCAAAAGTGTAAAGCACATTACAAAAGGTTTGAGTTTATTAAAGTATTTTTAAAAATTTAATCCACAGAAAGTACACCAGAAAGCTTTTCAGTGTACTTTATATAATATTAGGTCTGTTACAGTACTGTTTGGCCTTAACAGTTTTAGATTCTGACAGCAATTATATTTTACATTCTGTTTTATGTAAATTATATCCTATGTTCTGTTGGTTGCAGGAGAAAAAAGAAAGATCTCAATGTTCTAGAAATGCCATCTATTCCAAATCCTTTCCCTGAGCTTTGTTGTTCTCCATTTACATCTGTGTTTTCAGCAAGCCTATTTCCCAAAGCAAATTCAAGAAAAAAACAGGTATGAGTTTTTAGTTTCATTGTTTTAACTCTTAGGATTGACAAAATCACATAACATCTTAGAAGACACATTCAGTCTTCTGATTTAGGTTTTTGTGTCTGTGGACTATTTAACATCAATCATGAAAAGGAGGCAGGCTTTCCTTATAGTATTAGCTTCATGGCTAAAAACACCCCAATAAAATATATGAAAAATCAATATGTATTTAGTTGTATTGTATCAAATATGTATCAAATATGATATATTTAATTGTATCAAATATATTTAATAACACAATCATATATATGTACTATGTATAAATATAATAACATTATTTCCCTTTTTTCCCTTTCCAACAAGTATTCATTAAGCACGTAAGGCCAAAAATGCAGTGGTCCTTGCCACCAAGAAGCTTATATTTCATTTAGGAAGGTCGAAAGGGACTCAGGGTTACAAGTACACACAAGTAAACAAATGTAAAGTGTATGCAAAGTAATACAAATAATTTTAAGAGAGAGAAAAACTGCTAATAGCCAGAGTAGGTGGTTAGGTTAGCAAAATCTTTGTATAGGAGGTAGTATTTACCTTGAAAGAAGTTGATTTTTCAAGGTGGAGGAGTACGTTCTAGACAAAGAAGACTTGATCCTCTATCACTTTTGTCAGGCTTCTTTAATCCTTGAGATCCTCCCTGTTCCCCCATTAACTTTGTCACTGTTCTATAGTAATTCAGTGGCAAAATTAATTGGGTTCCAAACCTTTTCCATATTTTCCTCTTCAGCACTTTGAGTTCTTGAGGAAGACGACTTGGAATGAAAGCCTGGAAGCCTCTGACTGCAGAGGGAAATGGTGGACAAGCAATTGAAAGGTGATATTTAGGCAGTTAGGATTTCTTCCTTTTCCTGGCACATAGTAGGTGCTTAATAAATGCTTGCTGACATGACTTTCAAGGTTTGGCTTTGGGCTTATACATATGTATTTTTTGGGGAAAGATGAACCAATCAGCTTTACCTCTAATTTTACTGATGACTCTTTCTGCAGGCTTGGGGGTGCACTGGGGATCATAGGCTTCTATCCTTGGGCTTCTAGCCTGAGGAAGGTAGGAAGGAAATAAAAAGTGGGAAAGGGAAGGGGAGGAGATGTAGTTGGGTAGGCAAATTTGGGCTTGATATCTGGAAAAACTTCCTAACAAGTAGAGTTATTCAAAAGTGCAGTTGGCTTCCCTGATAGGTGATGGATTCTCTCTTTATTGGATATCTTCATGCAAAAGCTGGTGACTAATGTTTGTGCATGTTATGGTGGTAAGTCCTCAAGTATTAATTGGATTAGGTGGTTGCTGAGATCCTTTCCAACTCTCAAATTTTATGGTCCTGGTAGCAACAGAAGGGTGAATGCTAATTAGCTCCCCTTCCCACTTTTTAAGGTAAGCATCAAGCTGCTTTACCTTAACTCTTTCACTACTCTGGTAAGGGCAGGTTATATTTTCCTTCCAAAATTCATGTCAGTTGCTCAGTGTTATTTGGAAAGAGAAAAACAGTAGTCTTTTGTAGGAAGAGGGGGTGATCTGGAGACCTTTGTCCCTCAATGGGATTGTGCTTGGTGCTCCTTACCAGTAGGACCTGCTTTCTTGTTTGTTCCTACTTGTAATGTCCCTGTTACATGCAGGATAACACTTTTACCCTTTCATGGCCCTACTCAGCCTCTTCCCTAACCCATGAAAGATGCAGTTAAGTTTTTTTTAGGGGATGAGCCATACCCTTTTTTAGAACAAATGCTTCCATGGTTGAATTGTTGGACTATTTTCTACATCAGTGGTGTCAAACTCAAAAAACAAAACAAAACAAAAACAAAACCAGGTCCACTAAAATGTCTGAGTCAGATATTGACTTAGAAAACCATACCACTATACTTTAACTTACATTGTTAAATATTTCCCAAATACATTTTGATCGGGTTCAGACTATACTTGAGTTTGACACCTCCATTCTACAGTGCGCAGTGTTCCCTCACCTCCCCAATGCTGCCACTCTTCCATCCTCATCTGTCCTCTTCTCCACCATTGTTCTTGAAGATCTTCACCTGGGAAAGAATTTTTAAGTTGGCTATGTGTGTATGTAGAACCTGACTTGTGATTTCACTGATAGAGTGAGTTCCTAGATTGGGAAACTCCCTTTATTGATACAAATATACTGATATGACTTACTAAGTTACGTAGAGATTGAGACTCATTCAGCGTCACACAACCAGTATGTGTCAGAGGTGGGATTTGAACCAAGGTCTTCCTAGCTTCATTGCCAACTCTCTCTTCTCTATGCCACACTGCCTCCTATATAGTTTGTAGGTAGAAAATGCCTAAGTAATAGGCTATGGTCCTATAATGATTCACAGTAACTTAGAGGAAGAGTAGAGGAGAATAGGAAGGCATATGTAGCAATATTCTAAGGAATAGTGTCCTTTGACTGGAGTGAGTTATGTCAGGAAAAGAGATTTTCAAGCTCTTTGAAATCCCCCCAATTGGCTTATTCATTTCTTAGATAATGGGAGTCATTATTTTGAGGTAGGAAGTGGCAGATAGAGATGAGGATGAATACTACAGGACTTGAAATGTGGTCTTTTCTGGATTGGCATCCATGGATTTTAGACGAAAGCATAATATTGAATGGGAACTATATGTCTTTAAGTGGAAGATAGTAGTATGGGGCAAGAAAATGTACAAAAAGAGCTTTGAGTTGAGAAGTATGGTTTAGAATTAAGAAAAATGAATCTCAAAGAGTTCGGTGGCCGTGGGGAAACGACTGGGTTTTGGTGTGTGGATATTTTTGAAAAGAATGGGAGAAAGGGCAGTGAATGTTAGATCAGATTGTGTTCTAGACTGAAGAATGTTCATTGAGGGTTTGTTTATGCCTTGGAATGAGAAGTGACTAGGTTGATTTCTGTATCTTGTGAAGGATATATCTACCACAAACAGGTGTCTTCAGTGGAGGATGTTCCTAAGTGCCAATCTCTGAAGGGAAAATGGTGGAGGTGTCATGAAGGGCAGTCATTAACTGGCATTTTTTGTGTCTGAGTATTATGCCTAGTCTCAGAAGCATCTATGGCTAAGACAATTATGAAAGTGAGAAGTGTTGTTTTGAAGGGAGAGGACAGTATCTGTTGGTGTACTTGTGTCCCAAAGCACAATGAAAAGAACAAGTAGACTGAGACTGGGGAAACCTAGGTGTTTGTTTGAGCTTTGCAATTGAAGAAAATTATTTAACTTTTCTGGGTCTTCTTTATCTGTAAAATGAAGGAGAAAGGGTTTGAACTGGATGGCTTTTAAGGTTTTCTACAGCTCTGACAATTCCTAAGGGATGGTGATAACGTTGGAAGTGGATGGATTTTAAGTGTAGGCCATTGTCCCAATGTATCCAAACTTATTTGGGGAAGGGTGAAAAGTCTTTTTAAAAGGGGGACCAGATTTGTAAAAGGGAAGTATGTTTTCTACTGTCTTAATATTTGTTTTCTGCTTTGGTACTTTTCCCTGGTTCTGTGGACCATCTAATCATGCAACAGGGTTTTCACACAGACATCCATATTAGTCAGTGATTAGGGAGGATTCTCTTGGTCTAGACTAATGTGGACCAGTCCTTAACATAGACCAATCCTGGAAGATGGCTACTTGTGGATTGTAAGCTCCATTAAGGCAGGAACCAATTTCTACATATACTTTTTCTCTCTCCAGCATAACATAGTATTCTATATACAATAGGTGTTCAATAAATGTTTGGTTTATATTTTTACTTATTTCTATCTGCAAATATATATATATATACATATATAGTAATCAATATTTTGGCAGATATACAAATATATATACATGTATATATGCACATATATGTGTGTGTGTATGTGTTATGGGTATAAAGAAGAAGAAACCAGAAAATTGAAGGGCAGACAAGCTTTCTTTTTTTCTTTCTTCCTGTTTTTACCTTGACCTTACATGTATAAATCTTCTTTTGGTTTTAATCTTTTTATATATGATAATTTCTTTGAAATTGGTAGACACATGGAAACAAGAATATGACACATATATAACACTTTAATGTTTACATGATCTTTTTCATGCCTTATTTTGTCTGAGCTTCAAAAAAACCATGTGAAATAGATTCACTGAAAGTATTATTAGCCTGATTTTATTGGTGAGGAAACTGAGGCCCATGGTTACACAGCTAGTTAATGTCAAAGGCAGGCTTTGGACCTATTTCTTTATGATGTCAAGTTTACTATTGTTTTATCACACAGCCTCTCACAGGAAGAAAAGACTTTATGTATATCTCTTATATCTTCCACAAAAGCCCTATTTTGATGTCTAAGGTGATGTTGACCATCACTTAGGATTGTGATGACTGTGGATTCTTGAAATCTACATTGTTGGACCACAATCTCTCCCAACCCACTACCCAGCTGGAAAAAATTCAAGTATAGCCCTAAAAAGTATCTGTCATTTAAGGATCTGCATAGTATGGTTAGGACATGATCAGTTGGCTATCATGTGAGGAACTTTTTTAGCTGTTACAATTCATGAAGCTCATCTACTAAGGGATAGATGAAATGGGATTTGTATTGGTAGAGAGTGTACCCATATGTACGAAATAATAGAGTCTTGCAGTATTGAAATGTTTGTGTATAAAAATATGTTGTCTTTTCAACTAGAATATATATACAGTGTTATCCTTAGATTTCTTTGGTCAAGGCATTTGACCTTCTTGTTAAATAATGATGTAAATAACTCAGTATATGACAGGTTCTTCTTATTTATATTTATGGTTGAAACATGAGAGCAAATGTATGATTCTCTTGCGCTTATCCTTTCATTTTCTATTTAATCATTCTTGTCTTTTTTTTGAGAAGGTAAATTCATTTCAGTAAATATTCTACTTAGGGCCTAATATGTCTAAGACATATTATTGGGAATTATTATTATTAAATTATTAGGAATTATTCTAGGTATTTAGTACTCTCAAATAAACAAATTCTTCAACACA